TCAAAATTCATCCTGAAAACCATTTTGAAATTGAACGTTGCGTTACCATAGAAACGGTACTCTAAATTATTTTATCAGGCTCCTCCCCTTTTGGGCATCATTATATTTCATAATTTATGATCAAAACCTTTTTTAATCTTGACAAAACACATATTGTCAGAAAGGTCTAAGTCTCAAGGTTCCAAGTTTTGTGACAGAATTGATATTTGGACAGAAATGTATTAATTTGTTAAGGCAGAATGTATACAACTAAATTCAATGGAATGTATGTCACCCGGTGGCTGTTTTTGGTACTACACCTAAACCAAATCCCATGGGAACTTCGATTTTTGTGATATCAACTTCAAATTTGGAACACAACTTGGTTAGATATATGGCTTTGATTTTATAGTAATTTTAGAGTAAAAAATATTTCGTAAAACATATATTTTATATAAAAGAAAAAATATATAGTACAGTATATTTGATTTACTGTAAATTTAAACTTCCATAACTTTTTCATACTTTCATTTTTTTTATAATCTGCTGAATTTTTCCTTTAAAACAAGACCAAACTTAGGTCTATATTCCAAAGCATTCTTGAATTACAAGCATTTAAGTTTGAATAGTACATTTTAACTCCCATTCTCAAAAAGGGGGGTGACAGCGAAGGGGTTAAGAAGCTAGCGCTGCTTTGTTTGGGCAGGCTTTATAGTTTCCTGGTTCATGACATCAACTGCCTCTGAGGTTCTGCCACACCATTGGACTGATTTTACATGTGCTTCAAGGCATCATCAAGCAAAGCGTTCCCTTAGTGTCAATCGATGCAGCATCTCGTTCCCTCTTCAGGGAATTGAGATTACAGTCGTAACCGAGACGTTTTAAGTATTTACTAAATATTATAAAAAAATATGTCTTGATAGCCATGGCCACCATCAATGTATGAAAACGAGCAACTTAGAAATTATAAACTTCTGATTTTATTCTCAATCTTATCATGTTACATGAAAGAATGTCATATGAGGGTGAGTAAATGATTTTTGGGTGAACTTTTCCTTTACTGTAATATGAGGTGAGTATCTCCATGCGTCATCCGTTAAACACTGGTAAGCTTGTAGGTGTTGCTATAAATGCTTGTGTTTTTATTATATTGCCATAACTAGGCAGAATTAGGGGCATTTCAAGTCTTAAAAATGAGTTCTTGGTGAAGACTGTGAGTCTTTTGAATAAACCCGAATGAACTGTATGGTTACATGTACCACAAATTTTCCAGATGTGCACTATGGCTTATAGCCACAACCAGACATGGTTTCAACTCCATAGCCTTTGGCTCCAAATAAGACTTTGGGTTCATAATTCAATAAAGCAGAAGGATTTAGTCCAGACTTAAGTGTTCTGATGAGCTCTACACCTTTTGTCGTTGATAGAGATAACAAAACCATGTATTAGTTAAATATCCTGGTTTCCTTACTTTCATAAAGCCTTTTAAGATTTGTACAGTAGGCTATATTTTAAAAATATTTTCTCTTTTAGCTTAACAACTCAAAACTACACCTTGTTACATCTTTTAACCAAAAATAAAATGGCTTCAAGAGCAAACAGTCAAATTGCCTAAACTAGCTTTCATAACGGCCATGATTATTTCTGCAAATTGGTCCTTTTGTGTTTAAGTGTTTGGAAAGAAACAAGCAACTCATGACATAATCTGGGGTAATCAAGAATTAATGTGTTTTAGACCCAAATTTCCAGTCAGTCATGCTGCAACCCAGAGACCCTTCCTCATTTTCCATAGTGTGTGTGTGTGTGTGTGTGTGTGTGTGTGTGTGTGTGTGTGTGTGTGTGTGTGTGTGTGTGTGTGTGTGTGTGTGTGTGTGTGTGTGTGTGTGTGTGTGTGTGTGTGTGTGTGTGTGTAAATCAGTCACTGTGTAAATAAGTCACTGTGATGGTTTTGGCATAACGACCTCTGTCTTCTGTGAGCTTTTTTTTTCAGGGTGGGGAACATATGACTCGATGGAGCTTTAGTCTAAGACAAGGCCTTGTGGGGATGAAGGGTGTCTTCTCACCTAGAATCTGTAAATCACAGCTGAAATAACTGTGATGGGACATCATTTGCATTGAACAGGTTACTCCCTTTCACCATCACTCCATCGAGACCACTAAGAAAACATCCTTGATGGACCACACATACTCCTTCCACATCCCCATCATATCTCTTCTCCTGTGATAATGAGGTCTTTTTAGAGTCCAGACAAACTTTTGTTTAGGTGAAGTGGGGCATATCTTTACTTATCAGTACAAACTTCCATTAAGTAATCTGAAAAGGTGGTTATGTTAGGTGAAGAAAAGGTTTCAAGAGGAACCAAGAAAATGGCCAGATGGGAAGGTGGATGTTTTTTGGATTTCTTGGCTGATCAAAAATATGTCTGGCAGTGATGTAAAACCTCATAACACAGCAGGTACAAACACATGAAAAATCAATCAGCAAAGACACACTGCACTGGTCAAGCATGTTGAGAGGTTGTGTAATTCAGTATTTGGAGAGCATAAATGGTGTTCAAGGTTTTGAATGAATATATGCTTAGTTTCCAGTGAGACATGCTCACTGTTGGACAGATTTACTTTGAAGACCTTAGACTAAATGTTGAGAAATAACTATTTAAAATGGGTATCTGGTAGGGGTGTAACGGTACATGTATTCGTATTGAACCGTTTCGGTTCGAGGCTTTCGGTTCGGTGCGCATACAAACCGAACGATTCCTTGGACCATTTTTTCCTGCCGACAAAATTCGCGCTGGCGCGATCACCACAACGTTGCGCAACATCAAATGGCAAGCGTAATGAAAGCGGAACGAAACTGCGCTTCTCATTATTGTGCTTCACGGACCGTTTATAAGTTCGGACCAGCAACATCTGTGCAGCGCGAGCCAATCTCGATCAAGCGACACTGTAACTACACAGCGCTAAGAGATCCAGTGAAGAAAACATTTGAATTCGCCACTGAAGTAATAACATCGCTGCGAGATCTAGTGAGAAGCATTCACATTTCTCCGTTATTAACCGTAGTTCTCTATTAGATCAAACAGCGCTGACGTGGACACCAGGAGAAACATTGTGCCGTGAATGAACTAGTAATACTTTACGTCCACAGACCAGCAACATTCACCATGGATTTAATATAGTAACACTAACTGTAACCAGTTTGGCTGGAATAGTGAGATGCTTTCAAGTACTTCACACATCTTTTTCCAGCACTTCAAAACTCAAATATTATATAAATAAATATATGAAGAGTTCAGATGCAAAAGCCTCTAAATGCCATTTGAAATTTTCTTCTAGAATGATCATTTTTATGAAGCTTGTATATTTAAGTTCAGTAATTTCACTCAAATGACAATTAATAGGTAATCTTCATTGCCATTTAAGTGAAATTACTGAACTTAAATATACAAGCTTGATAAAAATGATCATTCTAGAAGAAAATTTCAAATGGCTTTTGCATCTGAACTCTTGATATATTTAAATGTTATTTTTAATGTGATGACCAAAACATTATTTGTTCATCCTTCAAAGATGACACCCATTTATAGACCTGAAAGTTTCAAGATGTAGGAAAACTCACACTTATTTAAAAAATATTTTTTTCTTTTAACAAATAGGAAATTCTCTGGCATTTCTTACTTTTTGCTGTATCGAAAACGTACCGAACCGTGACTTTAAAACCGAGGTACGTACCGAACCGTGATTTTTGTGTACCGTTACACCCCTAGTATCTGGTATTAATATACTATTAGACAAGATGTCTGTATAAAGTTGATCTATCAACATTTGGAGAACTTAAAGGAGAACTCCGGCGCAAAATGAACCTTTGGTCTAATTACACATTGTTACCTAGTCAACCGTTATCTGAGATTTGTTTTCATGATTATCGAATGTAAATAGTTTTATCTCTAAAAACAGTTTAGCCTATAAAGCTAGTATAACGCTAGTGTATTGGGCATAGTGTAATGACAAATAAAAATCGCTTGTTAATACCACTAACAAGGCTGAAAATAGACCCACACTAACACGGTAGCATAATGAGGGTCCCTACCTTCAAACCGAAGCATTGAGAACTTTGTAAGTGTACAGACAGTTTAATAAGAAGATATTTTAAACATACAGTCAACTTCGTGTATACAGGCAGAAGCCATCTTTGAAATACAGCCTTTACCAGTCGATCTACGAACGCCGATCCAAGTGCGCTGGTGAGAATGATAAGGTGAGCGCGAACAGCAGGCTTGGATCGGCGTTCGTAGATCGACTGGTAAAGGCTGTATTTCAAAGATGGCTTCTGCCTGTATACACGAAGTTGACTGTATGTTTAAAATATCTTCTTATTAAACTGTCTGGACACTGACAAAGTTCTCAATGCTTCGGTTTGAAGGTAGGGAGCCTCATTATGCTACCGTGGTAGTGTGGGGCTATTTTGAGCCTTGTTAGTGGTATTAACAAGCGATTTTTATTTGTCATTGATCTATGCCCAATATACTACCGTTATACTAGCTTTATAGGCTAAACTGTTTTTAGAGATAAAACTATTTACATTCGATAATCATGAAAACAAATCTCAGATAACGGTTGACTAGGTACCAATGTGTAATTAGACCAAAGGTTCATTTTGCGCCGGAGTTCTCCTTTAAGCTGTATTTAAACCAATGTGATGTCACAAAAGCCGTTTTTTATATATATATATATATTTCCATTCTTTAAAGCTTTTTTTTCTTCTCATTTTAAAGACATTGTTACATATTAGTCCTTATATAAATCCTGTTAACCATATAGCCAGCACAAACAACACATTGAAGTCCGCACGTCTCCCCTTAAATCTAAACGGAGAGCCATGCATGGCAGAAAGGGAAGCTGTTCTTAAATGAGGGAGTCCACACGCACACACACACACACACACACACACACACAATGTAGGGTGATGGGCTTCATCTCACTCTAAGGGGAGGGGGAGTGGCTACATTTGGCCAGCGCTTCAATATAAGCCTTTTGAATGGACCTCTTAGGAGCCCAATCTTTCTTGTGGCACAACTACCAACACCTACATCGACAACAACGGGAAGAAAGCATTTTTCTGGACTCTCCAGTTTTATTGCCCAATTGCATTTATTTCTTTTGCGCGTTTTTTTTTTTTTTTGTAAATTTGCTTTTCTAGTCAAGAGGCCTTTAGGCAAAGAAACAAAAAGACAATATGATCGCTCTGTTTTCCTTGGCATTGTTTTTCTTTGCAAGCAGTCTACATGTTGAAGCACAAGGTAAGAACCACTTTTGATCCCTTCGTGCATGAATGGATGAATGAATTTATTTTTCAGAATGCATCTGTTTATGTGTCTAAATGTGCAGATGAGAATGTGGTAAGATACATGTAATGCTCAAAAACTGCACAGTATAATTTATAGAAATTAGATCATCAAAGTTAAACGCTAATAAGAATGAGGGATAAGACAAAAAAACATTTACCATGGATGAACATAATTTCCTCAATGCTATCACCAGATTTGAATTGTATTACTCCACTATTCGTCTCTAAAATACTCCAAGACTCCTCCCACTATACACATGCACACAAGCACAAAGATGCAGCTCACCACAGACTTTCATAAGCTCCAAAACATCTGCTGCAGGTAATTTAACAGTTGTTTTACAGTTGTTGACAGTTAGTGGAGGATGTGAGCCAACACTGAACTGACTGTGAAAAATGTCTCGGCTGATTACACCTGAGTGCAGATCTATTACCTTTTCTTGAGGGTAAATGCAAGATCAGTTCCTGACAGCCAGTGATGTCAGGAGCATATTAGTGGCTGAAGAGCCACACACTGGACCTGTATATTCCCAGCTGTATGCTGGCCTGTGCCAAATCCATTGATTTTACAGTGAAGCCACTGAATGTATGTATCTGACAGGAGCAACAGCAAGATTAACAGCCTCTGAAAATGTAAAGAGCCCCTCTCTGAATGCAGTTATTTTCCTTCTGATGTAATGGTCTGTAAATGCATGGGTGTGTATGGATTGGGCTGTACTGGGGCTGATGGGGAGAAGGTAGGGACCGATGGAAGAAGTGAAAGGACACTTAGCGACTGCTCAAGACAGGCCTGATTCACGGAGGCTCTGTTCAAGACATAATGCAGCCATTAGTCAGGCATGGCTGAGTAGGGGGTGTGTGAAAAAGATAGATAATGGCTTTGTGTGTGAAGGGCGAGAGAAAATAGGAGATAATAAAGGAAGGACTCTCAAATAAACTCACTATAACACATGCAAACAGGGGAAGAAAGAGGCAGAATCTAAATATCAGTGCAGAAGTTGGATGGTTATGATAGTGGGAGTGCTGTCCAGCTGTGTGCAATAATTCATGTTCATACCCCACTGACCTCTGCTTGCTCAGCAAAGTGTAGGAAGTGAAGTTTAGCCATCAAGACTGGCTGACTGTGAGGGAGCGATTCCATGTGTCACTTGTATACACAGATGTGAAGCTCTAATCAGTGTGCTTTTATGCATTTAGGGTTGTGTTCCTCACAACCATATAAACTGTGGGACTCCAACCCCATTTATCCAGCAGATGTGTACAAGATGTCAATAGGACCCAAACACATGTATTACATGGCAATGTTGAATGATTGTTTTAATTTAAATTTATATCACCCTCTCTGTTTATACTTCAGTTTGCAAACGTATCTGATGACTTGGTAATATAACCTATTGTCTAACTACTTGAAATATAATTTGTCTGCTTGCTTACTTTACCTGTTTATTTCAACATTTTTTTTTTTTTTTTATTCTCTTGCTCTATTTTTATTTATGCATTTTTTTTTTTATTAAATTAACTTTTTAATAATATTAAAATAATATTTCTTATTGTTATTTGTTGTTATAATTTTGTAATACTTTATTTATTATTATAATAATAATTTAGATTATTACTACATTATTATGACTCCTTCAGTCACGGACTTTAATTATAGTTTTCTCTGGGGAAAAAAATCCATTTATGTTAAATTAATATCTATCCTTTCTTACACCAAATAGCTGAGTTCTTGGTCGGTGGGAAAGAGGCACTTAAATATTTAAACCACCACGGCACTTCCATTCTTCTTTTCAAGAGTAAACACTTTCCTTCTGTTTGCTTACAAGAGCAGGAATAAAGGGTGGGTGGAGATGGGGGATGGGGTGTCATGGGAACTAGTGGGAGTTGGGTATATGGAGAACATTATGGGTTAGAGGATTTGAGATGATATTTGAGAGTTGTGCAAAACTGGTACAAAATCACACCAGCAATGGTGTACAGATAGTCAGCCAACAAATAGAGCTCTTGCATGTGTGGAGCCCTAATCCAAAAAGCTTAGTTATAAATTTCCAAAACTGGTAGCTGCTGTCATTACTGGAGGGTGTTCTTGATCATTTGATGAGAGATTATTCATCTGTTCCCTCTGGTTACAGCATGCCAATTTGGCACACTGTCTCCTAAGCGAGAGTTTATTTGGAAGAAAGTGAGAGTGAGAGAGTGAATGACTCACAATGAAGTGTAAAAAGGAATCAGATGTGGTAATGATTGTAAGAAATGGGCTAGGATTTAATTACTTCTGGAAAGAGGAGAATATTTCATCAGTTGGTAATAATGTGAACTAAGTGCTGTATAATTAAAGGTGGAGAACAGTACAGTTTAAGAACAGCTCAGATGTTAAGAACATGTATACATTCATTCTGAGCACAGGTTTGGCACATGGTTAAGAAGTTTCCAGCTTAGTCAAGTGAGGAGTAATAAAGGACTACGCTAAAGTAAATGGTTTGATGCAAACGGCAGAAAGTCTTGCTAATGAGTCCCATATTTGTTTTGAGCATATGAGGTTTTCCTGCAGATAGACTTCACCTGAGTGTAAAGGTTATCAGAACATGCTGGTCATGGCTTAACAGAAAAAGTGCCTTTGTCTTTGTCTTAATCTTTTTAGATTGACAGGTTGCCCAGCCCATGCTTACATGAATCCGTTGATGCTGTAGATAAACAAAAAGGATTTGAGTTTACTTGATAATATAGGTTGACTGATTTGGCAAAGCACATCTGTATACAGTTTAAACCATAGGGAAAAGAGAGACTGAATGGTGCCTTAAGCTAAATCGAATTATGTCTGCTGTGCAATCGACACTTTGATAGCGGTGTATAGCTGGGATGGAGAACTCTTGGGTCGGTTTTAGTTTCCTTGATATCTATCAAATCTTCCATCATGGAGCTGTGATGGATTAGGGCCTCCCAAGGCTCAATCAGAGATCAGGAAACATCTTGAGGAACTGAATGAGACAATTATGCCCCTAACCACAAGAAGACATAGCAACTAATACTACAGACACAGCATCAGCTAGCAAACAGTTTAATAGGGGTCGGGAAACATATGTCTTTATTGACACAAAATGGGAGAATAATGTCTGTGGTAGCCCAGTTTGTGTGCAAGCGTATTTTGTGAAGATTGCAGGCTTCTTTAAAACCTTAAGACAAAACATATGGATAGCAATTAAAATCAAACCAATAAAAGTATGTAAGGAAATCTCATATAATTAAACTCATCCTGTCATTGTAAACATATAAAACAAATATACTAGACCTACTGTGTGGTTTCAATACAAAGAAACCATTGAGATAGAAACCTCTATTTGTTTCATTTTAGATGAAAGAATCAAGGTCTACGCCAACAGAGGAGACAATATAACTCTGCCCTGCAAACTGGAAGGTCTGTCCAATTTGTTTGGAAACAGAATCAAGTGGACAAAGCTTGAGGATGACTCGACAGAGACCGACGTGTTGATGTCCATGGGGTTCCACAAGAGGAGCTATGGAAATTTTGAGGACCGTGCTTACCTGTTGGAGGCGGATAGCAATGATGCTACCTTGGTTATTACAAACCTAGATCTGAAGGACTATGGCACATACAGGTGTGAGATCATCAATGGCCTTAATGACAAGATTGCCGAAGTGGACCTTGAATTGCAAGGTAACTTTAGTTTTTCAGGCTGTCACATAAGTAATCATTTAACCTCTAACATTTATATTTATTACTTTAGCAGGCTCTTTTCAACCAAAGTGTCTTATATATTATATATTTACGGTAGGAAATTTACAAAATATCTTCATGGAAAATGATCTCTTTACTTAATATTCTAATGATTTTTGGCATAAAATAAAAATCAATAATTTTGACCCATACAATGTATTGTTGGCTTCACTTTTCAGGACTTGTGCAGCACACTTGACAAATGAACTGACTGTAATCTAAAACACATTGCCATTACTTTACAAACATATTTTATTTACTTTCTATATAGTTCAGAATTTGTATTTGAACAGGTAATTTTAGTAAACAGTCATCAACATTACCACAGAGCTACACATTAGCACTTGAAATGTGAAGATGCTCGCGTATGCTTCTTTCAACTTTTGTATTTGCCACTTATCATTAGCTCATTCTCCTGTAATACCCTGTAGTTCTTGTTCTTGGCCAAGACCACCATTGCAGACTTGGTTCCAGAGAAACAATGGAGATCTTTACACAGAAAAGTGAGGTGCATGAGCATAATGAAGCAGGCTGGCATAACAAGCCATTGTTACCTTGGAACAATGGAGTATAAGATTGAAAAGCCTAAACCATGCAAGTAATGTTCTCTCTTTTTTTTTTTTTTTTTTTTTTCTTACACTGTACCATGTAAATCTTTTTAACTAAGCAGGGAACTATGTAAAACTTAGGCTTTTACTAATATCGCTCTTTGTTCGTTCGTTAATTTGGGCGGTCATAAAATACATTCATCAAATCAATCTAATGTTAAACTCAGTCAAACTTTTCCTCAGGGGAAAATTCACTTTCATTCACAGGAGTTGTTTTCCCATACTCCCCTCGTTTGGGGCGGTACAACTTCAACTTCCAAAACGCAGAGGCTGCGTGTCTGGAGCAGGACGCTGTGGTCGCCTCTTTCGAGCAGCTCTATGAGGAATGGAGAAGTGGGCTGGATTGGTGCAATGCCGGCTGGCTCAATGACGGAACCGTGCAGTATCCCATCACCAAACCCAGAGAGCCCTGTGGAGGCGCAAGGACCTCAGCCGGACTGAGAAACTACGGCAGTAGGGACAAGTCCAACAGCCGCTATGATGTGTTCTGCTTCACAGCCAGCCTTAAAGGTGGGTTAAACAGTTAAATTCTTAAATTCTAGTATAAAATGGTGTATAACATTTAGCAGTGTATGTGTCCACAACCCTGAAACTCTTTGTTTTACATCACAGGCCTCTTTTACTACCTGATCCAGCCCAGGAAGCTGGACTATGAGGAGGCTGTCAATGCATGCGAGAGAGATGGAGCTGAGATTGCAAAGGTGGGCCATATGTATGCTGCCTGGAAGCTGCATGGATACGACCGCTGTGATGCCGGTTGGCTGGCCGACGGTAGCGTTCGTTACCCTATCTCCAGGCCCAGGAAGAACTGCAGCCCCACGGAGGCTGCGGTTCGCCTTGTTGGCTTCCCCGACAAAAAGCAGAAGCTGTACGGTGTCTATTGCTACAAACCTCAACCGTGAAGCGCTTCATTTCACATTACCTGTCACCAACCAAAGAGCAGCAATACATCGGTGTCCTCCTCCAAACTTATGAAGGATTTTTTGCATGAACTAGCCTTAACTGTGACAATGGTCACCGTGATTTTGCCAAGTAAGACATGTTCCTGGGTCAATAGTTTGTTGATCCTGAAACAGCATTCTTGCCTGAAAATTTTGTCCTACCCCTAAACCTAACCCTACCCATGAGTTATCCCTAAAATCAGAGGGAAATCACAGGTGAATAACACTGATGTAGACGCACCAAACCCTGGTTGTAAGCCTAAACTTGACATTAACTGTAAACATGTCCGTCAAATCTGATTGGTTGATTGGAATGTTGTTCCAGCACCAACAAAGATCTTGCTCCAGGAACATCTTGCATTAGGTGAAATCACGTTCATCCTGTGACAACTATTATAGAAAGCATACTGTAAAGACCGTACTGCAACATTCACATTACAATATTATTGTAAACAGTTATTTTATCTATCATTTACATTTTATGTAGATTTGTACACCATATGTATGAAAAACAAACACAAACTGCATTCAGAAAGTATATTCAGCTGGAAGGAAAGTTGAAGTCACACCATTTTGATGAAAAGCCCTTTTAGTAAGTAGTAGGTGTGTGAGTTTGTCAAGAATCTAAATTTTGACATTGCAATACAATATTTAAACATAACAAATAGTATAAACTTGACAGAAAGTTTTTGAAACTTTCCCAAACAGAAAAGCAAAGTAAATGAGTAAATGGACCTGACACCTTTTTTTTTTTCCTGAAACACTTTTGTGATCTTACTCAAATTATAATTTCCTTAAAACTATATAGCTATATATTTTTATTTTCTTTTCTTTTCTTGTGTTGGTGTATTATCCAGTGCTATGAACTGTGACCTTATTTTATCTGTTTGAAATATCAAATGAATGTGTTTGGCCTGTAGTGTTAAGGCTTTATATTCATAAATAATTCCATTGTTTCATTATTCATGTCTACCTTTGTTTACAATATTGTGATGTACTTTCTCACCTGTTACTTGCTCTATTTTTTTATTTTATTTTATTGTTTTCATTCATGAGAGAAGCTATTTCTCAGTTTTGAACTTGATGGCCTTGGTGAAGATTTTAAAAGTTGTTTAAATGTGTTCATCACATTTTGACACGTATCTCACCAGAGACTGACAGAATTTGACAAACTGCTGATGATGCATTGAACTTTGCTATATGGCAGAGAACTACATAATTAACTCTGAGAGAATCGTTTAGGACCCAGTGGTATTTCAAGACTAGCTTGAGCCTTAGTTGCTTAAGTGTAGATGACGTAAATCTCAATTTAATGATGTTGTAATGCCACTGTTCTCTGTAAAAAGGGAGAAACAGCACTAAAAACCACATACACATACATACAGTTTGATTCTAACATTGGAATGTTATGACAGGCAAAGTGTGGCTGACTTCAGATAATGAGATCTGTGAACGTAACATCTATTACTTGTCACTTTGCATTGATAGATGTTGTTTGTTTATGGGATCGGGAGGGGAAAAGATTCTCCACCTTTAAGCTTTGAACTGCAGAAGCCACAGCGAACATAAATTGATTTTGTCTATGCACAAAATATCATTTTCTTTTCTTTTAATTTGAAGTGCAGTGTACGGTTTATGAATGAAATCAATTTTAAATGAAAAATAAAAACGAATAAAAATTGAAATGGCTTTTGTTCTCTTCTCCATTAAACTGTGTTGTAAATATACAGTGCCTATAACCATGGATGTTATAGGCACTGTTATAGGCCATGGCATGGATTAAATTACCCAACAAAAACCATTAAAACAACATGAAATAAGCTGATTGCATAGTACCACATATTCCACTTCTTTTGGGAACAGAGAGTTCTCATCATGGTACTGAGTGTGTGTGTGTGTGTGTGTGTGTGTGTGTGTGTGTGTGTGTGTGTGTGTGTGTGTGTGTGTGTGTGTGTAGGCCTATAATATGAGGATATTTATTAAATACTTCATTCAGAGTAGCTCTCTCAACTTTAGATCTATGAGAATCTCTATGAGACGTCTGGGAAGCATTTGCAGGGAAAGTTGCTGATTATAAAATACTCTGTGACTAATTCATCCTTTTTTTACATGTAGATTAATACCAGATGTTTAACATGAATAAATAAATAAATAAATAACTTCTGAAATGGAAAATGGTTGTCTTCCAAGACATAAATGAGAAAACCACAAGTATTAATGAACAATGACACAGCGGTATACCTGCAGGGAAATACATTCATGTCAACTGAAAATATAGCAATGGGACTTCAAACACCCGAGGCACATCAAAAGTCTGTTTTTCCTTCTACATTACATTGCGACTTTAAATGCAACATATTTATAAAACTATAATCCACAAAGGTATGCAACTTTACAACAGATCCTAAGTGCAATGTCTGACTGTTATTACAATAGAAAACACAATATCAAATCAAATGGCAAATGAACAACTGTTTTTTGTCCTCAAAACTAACATTTAACTTTTAGAGAACTTTTTCAACATTTTTACTAAGGAACACTAATACTGAAACACTAGGAACACTACAATGTTTAACTTAGAACTAAGAAACCTTGCATTTTTATTTTATTATACTTTTTTTTTTTTTTTTTAAACATTTTAACTATTTTTTATTGACTATCATTAATGTTTCAATGAAACTCAGCTTCAGAAAACATAATTTACATAATTTTGCTATCTGATAGAACTATATTCAGATGCTCAAGTGTCTTTGTGTTAGTGAACTGATACCATCTGGTGGTCAACATTAGGCACTGCCGATGAACCACATACTTTAGCTATTTATTTGTATAGTTATACTAAATCACATGAAGTGCAATGTCTTTACTCCAGTCACAGTGCATTTCATTATATTAGAGTAATATATTAGATTTATGTAAATTTAAAAAGACATCGAATTACGCCCCATATTAACATGCTATAGTCGCCTCAGTTAATGTTTGAGAATTATTAACTATGTTATAATATTAACCTTTAAGCCCTTCCCTATAGTCAAAACTCACTCTATATATCAGAATGAAAAAATACTAGGAACACCAGTATAATATAATAAACTTTGTTTACATAGAAGGCATAAAAAAGTTCCTTACAATTTTTCCATTTCACAAACATTCTAGACGATCACATTTGACAATAAACAAGTTATACTATAAATATAAAAAGATATGTGCACTTAATAAAAAAAAAAATACAACAAGTAAACACAAATGAAAAGATCTTAAAGAAAAAATGCTTGGGAATAAACAAATGGATGACCAGTTCAACAACAAACTGTTACTATGAATCCTCTTCGTTTGGTCCATTGATACACCCCAAATGTCATAACGAAATCCATCTAAATCCTGTGAGTTGTAAATGTCGTCAATTAATCACATCAACGCCAGCTATTGACACACTGTCCTTTACTCTAATATACTGAATTCTGTCAATGTGCAGTTTGGCCAAGTTAAATCCTCAGTATGTTGTATTTTATTACAACAATGAGAAGACAATGAGCAGCTCAAGAAATAAATTATAGGCATCTTGTTAAAAAGACATTTGCTCAAGTCTTTTAAGCATCTCACAAAATACATTCTCTTTAAAGTAGTTTTAAAAAGTCCAAGAAAAAAAAAAAGAACATGAAAGTTGAAATGATGTGAAATACATACAGTAAGTTCTTTGGTTTATATATGTATAAAAAAAAAAATTGGTGGAATTAAATGTATGTGAAACAAGATTTGCATTGTAAACACTTAAAAGAGACATCAAACAGAGGAATATAAATAATCTAAAATCTACATGGCTTTTCAATATTGAATACCTTAAAGTCAAAGTATTAAACATACTGTGTTGACTTTCAGATATCAAAACCATCCACTGCATTGGGCATACAGGTGTTTTCATGAAATTATTGACCTTTTTCTACCACAACAAACACTAACTCAATGTGAGCCATTGCTCACTCTCTCTACTGTATATAAATATATTCTTTCACATTCACATGTATGGTTGCTCATCTGTTCAGTAAGCAGCAGGATGTCTGTATACTCCTGTGGTTCTTGTAAACTTGAAGAAAGACTGCAAGGAATCATACAGCAATGTTTAGTGTGTTAAAAATGTACCATTATGTTTGCAGGCTAAAATGCCACGAACTTTCTAATATTATTCTGATTGCACTATTATAGCTCACTATATCTGGATTGTAAAATGTTATAATGTATGAAGGCACTGCGTATTCCCAAGAAGCAGAACAGATGGAGGGCAGGTCAGAGAATCTTTTTGTGTTTTCAGAGGCCAGCTGAATGTGATCTGAATGAAAAAATCTCTCTTCCAAGATAAAAACAGAAAAAAAACACTGTTTCATTCCAGTGATATTCCACTCTATGTTGAACCTATTTCAGGTCCTTTTCATAATCTTTTCTTTATTTTTTTTTTTTCTTTCAGCCAGCAGGCAGGTCCGTCACATTTTATCAAAATACATTAAAATGGACCTTACATTATGGTTGTGTCACCATAGTAACTAGTGTTGTGTCCGGTTGTGTTTTACACCATGGCGATGGTGTCGTCGTAGTACATCAACTGATTTGTCTGCAGATCTCTTCGGATAACTGTGAAGGACTCCTCTGTATGTCTGATACCGTTTTGTATATAACCTTTGGAAGTTGGAGGCTGGAAAGTAAATAAAAGTACATTGAATTAGTTTTCTTTATTTTTTTTAAAGAAAAACGAATAAAGAAGAAAATAAAATGTATTCTACAAGGCTGCTTTAAATTGATCAAAATATACAATAAAGACTTTTACACTGTTACAAAAGATTTCTATTTCAAATAAATGCTGTTCTTTTGAACTTTCTATTTCATCAAACAATCCTAAAATTTCTTAAAATCCAATCCTAAAATCTAACTATTTCTACAACAATATTAAGCAGTACAACTGTTTTTAACACTGATGATAATACATTTTTAAATGTATTTATTTATTTATTTATTTATTTATGGACCACCAGATCAGCCTATTAGAATGAGTTCTGATGGATCATGTGACACTGAAGACTGGAGTAATGGCTGCTCTAAGTTCACCTATGCATTACATTTTTTTATATATTCAAATAGAAAACTTTAATAATATTTCACAATACTAATGTTTTTACTGTATTTTTGATCAAATATGTAGCCTTGGTGAGCATAAGAGAAAACAAATATATATAAAAAAATAAATGTTATATTGGGATGGTTTCTTAAAAAGCTTTGTTGGATTTTCACAGAATACTTACGACTCGTGCAGGAAATCCTAGGCAAATCCCATGAGCCGTCTCCTCTGCAGCGAACGGTGGGAACATGTCTCTGGATGAAGCCATCTATGCACTGGTACCTGATCAGGGAGTTGATCTCATAGCGTGGGCGCAGCTGGCCAAAAGTGCGGGCGTTATGGACAAGAGGAGGCTGACTGCAGGACACTATTGACAACAGAGTAACCATCAGTGGAGCACTGAATCTGAAATGTTCTTTTAAAATGCTTTATAGGCATGACTGTAAGATGAGAGCAGTTTTAGATTTTTCTGCAAACAACCACAGATAAACCTTGACTGAAAATAATACATGCCCTAATATTATTCTATAAATGATCTTCATCCAGAAGCTGAAACCTCACCTGTGCCTTTCTTGCAGGTGAAGGTGAGGTGGTAGTTGCAGGGAACATCATTCCACTGGCCGTCCTCATGCCAGATCATTACCACACAATCTTCCCCTGAGGAGAAGAAACTGTCCGGCTGGTTCGGTCTCCAGTTTTCATATTGCTGTAGGGGAAGCATACAGCTAGAGATGAGAACGGTAATGTGAGGGAGACAACAATCCTAAAGAAATTTGTTTTAGATCTCATAATAATTATATGATGTACACTTATGCCAGTGTCTAAAAATAATTTGATTTTGTTACAGCCGCAGCACTTCAAATTCAATCTGGGTCAAAAACAGCAATATACAGCACTGAACACAGTGTTAATGCCTTCAAAGGCTTTCAAGCAGAGAATGTTCATACTGGAACACATAGGAGGCCATTAAAATGACAGTGATGCAGACACATCAGTAGGGGGCGCTGAGTACATTTACTAAACTGCAATATGGAGCTGCAGAGAGAAGCGTAATGCATTTGAAAGATTAAAAAAGAACTCTTTTACTTTTTTTTCAAGGAAGGATTTGATTTATTGGCCGTATACTCCAAGAGTAGGTCTACTATACACAAAAGATAAATGTCAAAGGAGGGATTAATCAAGGTCATGCCAGCATCTGTGCACACTTTGCCCTTGAACAAGTAGCAGAAGCAGACAGATACCTGCTCTTAAATGTTACAGAGACATTTTAAAAACAACCAGCAGTCACAGTAAGAGTAATTTACTATCATGGACAAACTTTATTTGCTATATTTCTCTGCATCCTCTTTTTTCTTGTCCAACTACTATATTTCCCCCTGCACACACCACATGGTGCAGATGTGATGTCCGCAGTCATCTTTCTCAGCTGTGGTCTGTGGACAAATGCACTGTGGACAATATACATATGTATTTCAATGTATATGGCACTCTTCTATAGGGTATCTCATTTTTAGCTTAAATTAAAACTGCAAAGTTTGTACATATATTAAAGATAGCGTAGGCTAAGTATATCCGATCGACGCACATCGGAGCTACGATCTTTCAGCAAGCCTGTGAATATTACCTTCTTCAAACACAATTCACCTAACATCCTGCTATTATTCTCTCACAAAAGGAATGTGCGCTCCCTGCTTGGAAATTGACGTAATGCAGTTTTTGACCGTCTGGATAACTCCAATGGCACATACTTAAATGCATAAAGAAACAAACTCTTAATAGAGTAACTCTTCTGTAAACAGAATAGAAAAAGAGAAGAGCAAACTCCAGCGGTTTGTTTATAGTACCTCACTGATACCAAATGGATTGAAATGTCACCCACTCACAATCTAGGTCTGTATTATCTTTAGTGCAGCCTGTTCCAGGTGCTGCTCATCCTTCACACCTTCATTACCTGTCCACACCTGTAAGCTTCCTCTCAACTCATTTTATTTTTATCCTCCAGTCCTGAGAGGACTTCCACAGCTGAAAACTCCTATCTCATGCCCCCCAGGGCTTTTTTGGCCCTTCCCCACAAAATGCTGCCATTATCTTTGAAGTGAGAGCCCAGTCAGGACTAAACGACAGTAATTGGCCACTTTCATGTTCAATGGAGGAACACCTCTAGAACCAGGGAGCTGTTTGCATATGTCTTCTGTTTTCCTTTTTTTCACATCTACACATTCTTGCTTAAAGTTCCCATTGTTTTTATAGTAGTAGATTTTTAAAGAAAAAAAGTAAACTTTGTATGTTTGCATCAACACCATTCTTTCAAAACACATTTTAGAAACTAATAAGTACGTTTTGAAGAATGTTCTTACCACAACTCTACCATCAGTCCACCGGAAATCATTCTCAAACATCTTATCATTCAGACCGATCCACTGGTAGTCATGGCCGAGGCCTACAAGAGGAGAGAGAAACAAAGGTAAATTCACTAGCAAAGTATCCTTCCTCATAAATAATCATCATTAGTTTGCATGGAAATGTAACTGAAGGTGTAAATTAGAGCTGATGATAGACAGAATGTCCATAACTTGTTGTATGTATACTCACGGTTGATGTACTGCTGCTCATCATGGGACGAAACACTAGCAAGGTGTGCCCCCTGGAGACGACATTCACGCTCTGCTGTGTCCCAGTTACGTCGATGAGGATAGTATTTGTAGCAGTGGCCCTGGAACTTGTGCCAGCCGTAGCTACATGTTTCGGTGTCTGTGGAAAAGCATGTATGCATTACTGTTGATTTACTACACATAAGATTGGCATGTAGACCCTGAAACTGAGATAATCCTGTTGTTGCAAGTCGGAAAAAAGGTGCTTCGTATTGTCTGCTGTCAATTTCTTTTTATTAGTCCTTACCTTTGGGCTTACACTGTAAGGCTGTTCTTATCAGTACAATAAATCAAACCTCTTTTGTTCAGTGGCATTCTTTTCAAGTGAGAATGATTTCCCACCCACACTGGACCTGAGGGAATATGATATAACTCCCTTTCATCTTCATTTTAAATTACATGCCAGTTGAGCGATATCACTTAGAGCAAAAGTTACTTCCATGTGTCTATCATATCAAGAAGCCAATTAATTTTTGCATATGAATGTCTGCAGTGCTGTGGAGAAGGTTGGATGCTTTGCTCTGAGGCATTGTTATGAGCAGAAACCTTTTTATTTTGGGTATGCCATGAATGCATCACTTGCCAAAATTGGGGCTGACTTGTAAGGGGTTAAGAAAGATATTATACCAAAGTAAATTCTGTCAAACAAATAGCCACTTTAACCGCTTGGGAAATTCAAAGAGTTTTAAAGTAAACATATTATCAACACAGCAAGTTATTAGTATTGTTTCTAGATCAGCATTCGATTGCATTAAATTTGCAAATAAAGTGTGTCCTATCAATAACAGTAAGTATGTTTATGTACGCCGTTACACTCAAGCTACAGCTGGTTTTTGAGCCACAGTCTCTTCTGGTACAACTTCAGTCAGACTAAAGCGTTCACATGGTATTTTGAAAAGACAAATTGTTTTTTTAGCCCAACTGAAAGCAAACTTTTACTGTCTGTTTGTGGACCAGCCCTGCTCAACATCAGGCTGATAGCTTTGATTGCTTGTTGAAATCACTGTGATTGCAGCAGACTTGCCCTGACAGAACCACTAATTGGGGAAATATCTAAACCTTCAGCAAATTAACATACAGGAGAGAAAATGTCAGACCTGATGTGTCACATACAACAAAGAATACATCATTCCAAAGAGTCAAATCATTAAAAACCCTCATTAAATTATTAACCATTATGCATAACAGCAGTAAAAATATATGTTAAAATACACAAACCATAATTACGACTTGAATGACATAATTACTTAATTTTGCATTGATTGCATTCAGCAGTTTTCTGCAATTTCTGCTTTCTCTGTAAACAGCTGTCTGCGCACTAACACTCTGAGGGGGAATTCACAGAGAACTCCTTTTTTACAGTTTTAAACAAGAGAAACTGGTCAGAGGAATTAAAAACGTGTTTTATAAACACTGTGTCATGTGCGAGACATTGCAAAAGATGACAGACGTGAGTGCAATGGTCAAACAAGTCTTTCTAACGCATGTGCATAGAAAAGCAATGGGGAAAAAGCACAGAGAAATGCAAAAATTAGTTCTGTGTGAACGGCCCCTGAGACTGAACCACTTACATTCTGAGTCACTGCTGAATCACTGAGTAGTAACAGGAGGCAGTTCCTCTACAAGAGACACTTCTTCATATCTGTAATGTTGATGCTATCTCAAGTTTAAGATAAGTAAAGAGATTGTTCAACGTACTCAAGAGGGTAATGCACTCATGACGACAGTTTACAGTTGTTTTTATTCTGACAAAAGTCAGATGTGAGAGATTTTGATATGATTAGTATTTTCGTTTATGAAGCATTTTAATGTGTATAAACACTTGTAATGGTTTGACGGGGATAAAACTCTCAAGAAGGTAATCTCACTCATGTAAAGTGTAAATCAACGTCTACAGTGTAATAAGGGGAAAGAGTGATGGCTGATGGTCTTAACAGCTGTGAGAAATGGTATCCCCTTAAATAGTGGAAAGTACAGCATCACTTTGTCTGTCTGCTAGCATTAAACGGTTTTGGAACACACAATTTCTTACATAAGATCAAAATCTATCAACTTTCAGAATCTACCAAACTGTGAGTCACAAGCATAATGTCATCTAGCAATGACCTCATATGAATGTTCAGAGGTTCACTTGTTACATCTCCACATCAACCTCAGTGGCTACAGTAGCGTCACGTAATATCAGCATGTTGAAAGATCTAGTGTGATGACTACAGTGATTACCTCTCTTAGGTATTGAACAAATGATTATTTGATAAATATAATCTTACCTTGCTCACACAGTGCTCCTGCATAACTCGGAAGACATACACAGGTGAATGAGTTTAGGCCATCAATACATGTTCCTCCATTCCGACAAGGGTTTGTGTGACATTCATCAATGTCTAATAAATAAATAAAATTATATGATGAGTAAATAATGTAGTACTGAAGTGCAATAAGTTCAAAAAGCCAGATGATGATAAGTTTAAGATGCACTACCAAATATGTTTGAGTAAAAATGAACTAAATCCGATTATTGACAAAAAATTAGTTTGAAACAGTTTAAAAGTTGTCTAACCTTGATTGACAACAGTGGTTATGTTTCCATCCACCTATTTTTATACTATTATAATTCTAAAAATGCATAACAAATGTATGCGCTCATTTGAGTCGGATACCTTTTTTTTTCAATAAGAAAACATATGCATAAACTACGATGGAAACACATTTACAGAATAAATTACTCGATGCGCATAAAACTTGTGACTTTGCGCGATGGGACGAAATAACTGAACTAACCAGTGGAACGATCTTTTTACACAGCATCTGAAATGCTGTTTTGGTTGTTCTGAAATGCCTGAGCAAAGTCTTTTGTCAAAGTGGTTCGGTAAAATTATCTTCCCGAACTCTCTTACACGACTGTGTTCCCAAACATCAGCATCTGCCTCCGAAAGCAAGATAGATAACACATGTATTGCGTTTCGTCTGCGCGCTCTGAGATGCAAGTAATTTATTATATACGAAAATTATTATATACAGCAGCTTCTCCTACTTTTCTTAGTGATATTTAGCGCCAGTTTATCAGGAAGTGACAATTTTGTTCTCTTCGACTCGCTGGATTGAAACGGTGCTTCATTAGCAAATGTTTTATGCGATATTCCAATTTTGCACATAAGTTAAAATCCGAACTTTGGATGGAAAAAAAACTGTTGGCATGTATTTGGTGGGAAATTAATGGTTTACATAATTTGCCTTGACCTATTTATGCCATGTCCATAAACAGAGTAAAGAAGGTCCAGCATTATAGTGACAGACTTTGCTCAAACTATCAGATTCTTCTTCTGCGCAGAACAGCATTGCCGAAGCACAACGTAAACAAAAATAAACAAGGTTGCAAGTAACATGCAATTTCATGTTTCGGCCACAGATGGCAACAGAGAGACCAAAGTTATGCAGTGCACTTTTAATAAATAAATAAAATATCACTGCAGCTTACCCATTTCACAGTGTTCACCACTGTATCCAGGTGGACAGCTGCAGATCTGAGCACTGCCTATTTTTGCACAAGAACCGCCATTCAAGCAAACATCATCAGAACAGGAGTGAACACCTGCAGTAAGAGGGAAGATATAGGCATGCCATTGTGCATATGAAAAACAAGTATATTGATATAGGTATAGAAAGTACAGTAGCCTATAAATTATGTTAAATTTATTTTTAAAACAGTGTTTACATCCTACCTGGAATATCTACTGTTTGCCCGATCATTGTGTATGCAAGGTCTTCTGCACTGCTTTCATTCTGTGACCGTGGGGGTGAGCTTTCAACCAAAGTGGCCTCAGAAACATCTTCATGAGAAGCAAATGGTGGAGTCTCACTCGGAGTTGTAGGCACTGATGATGACATCTGATCTTCTGTTTCTTGAATAGGAATTTCAGTTGCAAGAGTTACAGCTTCCTCAATCTGACCAGCTGCCTCTTGTTTGCTTGAGGCAGTTTCCTTACTGACAATCTTTACATCAGTCTCATGTGTCAGAGGTATAGGTGACATTGTTGCAGTGGACAGAATAACTGCCTGAACCTGATGAGATGATGGGATATCTGTGATAACTAAATCCTCCTCTGAACTGCTTTTCAAGCTACTGGAAGTTACAGAACCATCATATTGAGTTTGTGTAGTGGTCCTGAATTCTGTGTCATTTTGTTCGGGTTGGGTTGTATGTTCAACTCTTCCTTCTTCCAATGATTTTTCTTCACTTAAAGAAGCAGAACTTGGTTTATCTGTGACATCAAAAAGTCTTGTTGTGATGAGATGCTTATTGGATGAGACTGTGTTTACCTGCCCAGACATGCTTCTATCTGAACCACTTGTTCCACTGGTTGGTGAGCTGGTTAGTGAAGCATCACTCTCAGTTCTTGAGACACTCTCAATATCTGGTTGCATGGTTATCTCAAAGCTTTTTTCAGTGTCAAGATGAGAGGTGGTCTCGGTATTCAAAACTTCTGCTTGTGTGTTTCCATCAATATTTGTTGCACTATCCTCAGGTTTTGTAGAGATCTCAATGCCAATGTAAATTTTTGATTGTGAAATGGTCTCAAATATAGTCTCAACTTCAGACTGTGAAGTGGACTCAAAACCAGTCTCAACATAAGGCTGTGAGGTGGTCTCAAAGCTTGTCTCAAAATTAGACTGTGATGTGGTCTCAAAATCAGTCGCAACATCAAGCTGTGAGGTGGTGAAGCTCTTCACCCCTACAGGTTTGGTGATGTCATCAATGCTGGTCATATCTTCTGAGCTAATGTCTAAGGCAGTCTTATTCTCAATGTCTGTTTTGTTCATGAAATCTGGTATGGACTCAACTTTGTAAGGTTCAGTTTTTGTGTCATAATCTATTACATCGTCTTTCCCTTCCTCAGAGAAAAGCGGAGTTTCTGTTTTGTCACTCAGACCTGGTATGGATGTAGATGAAGGAGACCCCACTAATGTTACTATGTCCGTAGTCATGTTAATTATTGATGCAGATATACGAGGTGTGGGAATGGTTGTTGATGGCAACGGCACATCTTCATCCGTCATAGTGTCTGTGTTGGGTTTATGTGTCACTGTCATCTCAGACAAAGCTTGCTGATATGGATCCCCATCAGTTACTGTGATTGCTTCAGGCAAGGCGGTCACAAACACAATATCAGTCTCCACAGATGTTGAAACTGAATCATCTGCAGCTGTTAAATGAGAGTCTGTTGAATCAGACAGTCCTATAAACATTTCAATAGTTTGATCACCTGAGCCATCATCTGTTAAAGAAAATAATGCACTTGTGGTTTCCTCTGAAATTCCAGATGAAATATCTGTGTTTGTTAATTCACTTCCCTGAATTACCTTATCAGAAGTGGGACTACTTGATTCAATGGCATCAACATTTGTGATGTCTAATGTTTCCTCTGTGTCAGCTGTTAAATCATTAACATATGTTACTGCTGTTTCAGTGTGTGTACTTGCAGTGGTCTTGGCAGGTTCAGCCATGCTAACACTTTCTAAATCCATAAGTACTGAATCTGTGGCAGACGTTTGATCTGAATCAGTATGGAAGGATGCAGTGCTTTTTAAATCTGATACTGGAGAGACTGACTGTTCTGAGTCTGTGATTTCATCTGAATGTTGAGTAGAAACATTCACACCAGAAATTGATGAGGCAGATGTTGCATCATTTCCAGTAAAGTAAATTGATTCTTCAGGTGAAACAGAATCAACATATAGAGAACTACTTGTAACAGCAAGGGTTGAAGTGAAACGGTGACTGGACATAGTTGTTTGAACTGGTTCATATAGGTCTGTTAGTTCACTTGAAGCTTCCACCTCTAAAGATATTGTATGAAGGGGTAGAGGTGTTGTCTTTCTTTCTAGGGCTGTTGGTGACATTGTTTCCGTTCTGGTCTTGGAAGCCTGTGTTGATAGGGTCTGAATGTTTAGAACATCCTCAGATTGGTGCTCTTCAGCTGAAACTATGTCTATGAATCTGTCTGTGGACACTTGAGATGATTTGGGGGTTAAAGTAGATGTTTTCACATTATAATCTTTAGTAGACACAGTGTCTCTCGAGAAGTCGTCAGTCAGTGTCTCCATTGTAAATTGTTTGGATTCTGTGGAGGTCTGAAGATCTATTGTGTGTTCATTTACATCAGCATCAGTAGCCTCAGGAGTTTCTGTTTGTGTTGCTTGTGTTTCCTCATCTACATATGTTGAACTGCTCTGCAGGATGTCTGGGGTTGATGTTGTTTGTTGAACTATAAACTCATCTGTGGAGGTTCCAAATGGCGCATGTAACTGAGGTAACTCAGTGCCATCCATTCCAGATCCTTCTGGTTCTTCTGTCATTATGCCTGAGGGATGTGGCATCATGGAAATTGGGATTACTCCACCTGCTTCTTCTGTTACAATTGTAGGGGCAAAAGGTGAAGACTGCTCTAAAACAGACATAGTATCTGCATCAAGGATAATTTCATCCTTAGTGATAACATCTGGTTTGATGCTATGATCTATCATACTCTCTGTTACAGCTGAAAACAGCATATCTTCATCTTCCTCCTCCCCTGTGAATATTAAGACAGGGCTTGTTGGAGGGACTTGCTGATCAGCATTGTCCTTAGAGAAGACAGATGGAGTAGGGGTGGACACAGGACCTTGAGATGTCACTAAAGAAGGCAATATAGTGTGGCTGGTTACCACATCAGAATGTGTTTCAGGAGCAGTAAAGCTAGTGGCTGTTGACTCTGAGACAGAACCACCAGAAGGTTCCTTCTCTGTCTGTGCTGTCTCTGAGACCAGAGTGAAACCTTCAGCATTTGAGCTTGATAACACACTCTGCATTTGAGGTGTCGTGGTTCTGTGTGAAACAACTTTGTATGTACTGTATTGTCCACCTCTGACTGAGCTAATGGATGTAATGCTAATGGTTGTTTCTTTCATTTTTGAGACCAAAGGTGACGATGTCACAGGAGTTGTGTCATCACCTGATCCATAATCTTCTGCTCCATCCCACTCTGTTGAGTGTTCCCCACTGCCATCCTCTGAAAGTGAAGTTGTAAATGTTACAGTTGACAGGGTCGAGCTCAGGGATGAGGGAAATTGGGATAAAGTTGACTGATGTATGAAGTCTGTACTGCCAGTGAAAGATGCAGCACTTGAGAATCCTGCTTTCTCCTCAGTTTCATAAACTTCTGCCTCATCAGTTCTTACAGTTAGGTCATCATATGACTTAGTTGTTGCTGTTTTAGATATCGCATCAGTAGGATCTTCAGGTGAGGAAAATTCCTTGTCATATTCTGTGGTTAATAATGAAAACCCATTGAAGTTGATTTCTGGAGTACTTGGCTGTAAGGAACTTGTTTGTGTCTCTGAAACTGATGAAGCTTTAGATGTGCTTGACACTACTGCAACAGGTGCAGCTTCAGTTCTCTGTGGTTGTGTCTCAAGACCTGCTGGGGATATTTCACCACCAGAGCCAGTATCTTGATCAACTTCACTTTCAGCTGTGATTTCACTACTTGCAGTAGATGAGGATTTCACTGCTGTTTGGACTGTGCTATACAGTAATGTTGATTCAGTTGTGAAGGATGTGGAATGGGAGGAACCAGAAAAACTCACTGGCTCCGACGTGCGGTTAGCCTCACTGATTTCCACCTTATCTGTGGCCACATTATAATTATCATAGATTTCAGCTGTTGGACTCACTCTGTCCTCCTCACCAGAACCCTCTTGGTGAGTGGTTTCCTGGTCATCTTCAACAATACCAGAGCCCTCTCTGTCTACAAAGGTAGATGTAATGGAGCTCAAACTTTGTGTTATAGTGATGTCCCTGTCAAGTTCTGTAAAGCCAGTGTTGGTTATACGAACTGTAGGAGAACCAGTCTGCATTTTTATGGCTGCTGATGAAACATGCATGATAGGGGACTCCCCTGATCCTTCATCATCTGTTGTGTCATCCTCTGAATCTACAGATGAGATTGTTGTGTGCTTGCTAAGGCTTTTGCTAGAAGATGGGGTAAACATTGTTCTTGTCCTGAGAGGAGCTGAAGTCGCTTCGTAACTTTCAGTGACTGTTGATGTTTGGCTGTGCTTAAAATAACCAGGCGTTGTTTGGATAGCTGGAGGTACAGTGTGGCCAGATTCAGCTGTTGCCCCTGAAGTGTGGCTAGGTTTACTTGATCCAATTGCAGTATGACTTGATTCTGTGGTGTGACTAGTAAACTGTGTCAATTCTGTAATAGTATGAGAAGGTCTGGAAGACACTGGGGCTGTCTGGGTGGCAACAACATACTCTGTGAATCTTGTACTAACAGGCTGTGTTGTTGTGTAACTTGATTCTTTTTCAGTTGTTAAGGAGACAATCTCTTTTTGAGATGTCATGACCTCTTGACTTGTGACTGATCTAGCTTCTCCACTCACAGTTGTTTTAACATCTATTCTTGCAGTTATATTTTCTGATGGCTCCACTCCAAAATCAGTAATTGACTCAAAACCAACAACAGTTGTCTTGTCCTCTGATGGTGTAACTTGGGGAGGAATCGATTCTACAACAGCAGAAGATATTTCACCAGAGCCACCATCTTC